AGATAATTTTAGACAATTAAGTCCTCTGAGAGTCCTACCAAAAAAAGGACAAGGAACTCTCTCTTCTGTCCCGTGTTGCTCATTTTGTAAGTGGCCTACATGGCCTTAGCAGCAGGATAAGATATTACCCTGGTTTGGAATTTTCAGTCTATGCTTCATTTCTTGGATAGCATGAGACTGATGAATTAAAGCTCTTGAGCTCTAATACTTCCAGAGCTCTGTGGATGCTACCCCTAAACCCAAATCTTGTTCCTCTACTCAGTCTTGATCTTCCTGTAGGCAGCAATGTATCATCTTGATATTTGGTGCCTGCTTGCTTAGGGCAATGTTGAGCCAGCACTTTGAAGATGCTGGAGTTCAGTCCAGTGAGTCCATCTTTCTCCCAGTGCCTCCCAGGTCTGAGCAAACAATGTCAGTAGTATTGTCCTATTCACTGGTTGCCGCTCTTCCTTGGAGAAATTGCAAGATAATGATCCTATAGTATGCACATATTAAGTAGATTTCTGAACTTCTGGAGTGTAATACCAACTTCTCTAACTTATGCATTGGGAAGTAGATTGGGTGCTTGTCAGAGAACAATCTTAACTCCAAACCATTTGTGACCCATCATTAGTGCCTACTATTCCTCAATCCCTTGATGATATCTTTCCAGTCTTCTGGTAATAGTTTAAGCAATTAATCAACTCTCTGTTCCAGCTCTCTGCTCTTTGAAAAGTAGTCTGGGCATAATTCAGCAATCTGTGACAGTCCCAGAGGGCATGCTTCTTAGAGGAACCAGTGACCTCAATGGCTGTACCTCTTGAGTATCCATCAACTTCTAGTTTCTAAGACTAGTTTCTAATTTCTAAGGCTCTCATACCTACCACCAAAGTGACATCTGTCTTATGACCCAGCCAACGTTCAAAAGCCTCTTTACCTGGCCCTGGCCTCTCCTGAAAGTAATATCAATATTAAATGATAATTTTCTCCAATAATAGAAGGAATAACTTCCCTAGGTAAAGGGTGTTCTGGTGACGTGCTTGCCTTGCAGGCTGACAGGCCATGTTTGGGCTATGGGGCACTTCCACTAAACCCACCAGGTTAGGCCTTCTACCCCAAGGGATGAGGCTATCCTTTTACATGAGGGGGATAAGTTTGTTGATCATTTTTTAGGCTCTTTCTCTTCTATCCAGTTTTCTAGAAGCCATCTTGGATGCAGTAGTCTGCTGAGCTTCATACAGTCCCCACAGGGTAACACTGGTGTCCAATCCGTCACTGTCTCAGCAGTTTGTGTTCAGCCCCAACAAGGTAAAGGGATCAGGTTTTACTGTGGTTCCCATCTCTAAACAAAATAATTATGGTGGGCCTACAGGTATTAAGGACTGTTGGACAGCAGGTTAGCTGCAAGCAACACATCTGTGAGAAAGGAGTCCATACTCCAGAAAGCTGGAGCTAATGGATCCCTCTCATACCCGTATAGTCCTTCATCTCTTGCTTGCTTTGATGACATCTGTTCCTGCCACACCCAGTTTGAGTTCTTCCTCTGACTACCTTCCCCACTTCCTCTATCTCAGTCTTATGTAGTCTTTGGGTTTGGAGAAACCAGCTTTCTTTGTTGCCTGTTAATATTTCTGACCTGTGTTAGATTGTTTCCTTTGAGTCTTTGTGCTTCAGTGAGGGCTGGGGAGGGGAAATGGCCCATGTGGAGCTAGTGAAAGAAAAGAGGAGGAGGAAGTTGCACAGAAAATAGAATAACACTCTGAAATGTAACCCCACCATATGCCTTACAGAATTAGAATCGTTCACTCTGATTCTGAATAACTTAAAGAGCATTATTTCGGCAGTTTAATTATGAGAATAATGGCTTGAGGTTTGGTATATCAGTGGTTAAGGTGAGGCAGAGAAAGTAGCCTTTTTCATGGTCTAAAACACTCATACCAAGGGAAAAATCATATATAATCTGTTAAATATCAACTCTTAAAAGTAGTGGAGTTTTTTCTAGATCTGTTCTATAAACTGTCATTTAAGTATATTACATAATGGATTTGGCCAGGTGTTTTCCAATTAAATTGGCACATCTTATCTCTCTAAATTATAAATGGCTGATTTCGATTGAATGTTCATTCTGTGCCACAAACTTTATAATATTATCTCATCTGGTCCTGAAAACAACTCTGTGAGTTAGTTTGTTTTATCTTGGTAGGTTACGGAGTTCCTGTTTTATAGATTAAGATATTGAGCTGAAATTTTGCCCAGAATCACCCAGCTTTTAAGTGATGGGATTCTTTGTGACCCCAGACGCCCTGCTCATAACCCTACAGCATATCTTTGCTATAGAAATGATCCATTAGAAAAGTAAGAGTCTAGGCTGACTCTGGCAAGGCCAGTCTTGAGTCTGAACTCAGCTTGAGGACACAGGATGTATCAGATCAGAGCCATGCTGAGATGCCTTCCTGGACTTGGAGAGATCCTCGGAATGGACACTTGAAAAATTTAGACAAAATCCCTATTTTGGGTGCATGTATATTTGTGAATGGGTGCTTAAATAAGAATATTCCAGTAAATGTACAGCCAATTTCATTCTTTCTTTTTTTTTTTTTTAGATAGGTAAAATATCCATGAGCCAAAACCCAACAAACAGCATAAGATCGTTCTTCTACCCCCTCAGCTTAATTCCCTGTCTACTTTTTTAGAGTTCCTTTTATGCCAATATGAATAAATGTATATTTATATTCATACTCCTTTTCTGTATATAAGGTAACCATTTTTAAATTCTGTATTTTCCTTTGCTTTTTTCACATGAGATTTACCTTAGGAATCTTTTCATATCAGGACATAAAGAGATTCCTCATTCTAATTTACAATGGCACAATATTTCGTGGGGTTAGATGCATTATCATTTATTAACCAGTTCTCTATTAATAGACATTTGAGTTGTTTCCAGGCTTTTGCTCTTACTAACTGACACAATGAATATACATGATATATGGCATTCTGTATATCTATAAGGTCAGTTTCTAAAAGTAGGATTGCTGGGTTTAAAAATATGCATTTATAATTTTGATCAATAATGCCAAATTTCCTTACTAAGGGTTGTACTAATTTGTACATCTACCAGTAATAAATGAGGACAGAGAGTGTCCCACAGTCCTTCCAACAGAATTAACACATGTTTGGATTTTGGCTCATCTAATTGATTAAAAAATGCTTGGATTTTGGCCCATTTGATAGATAGAAATATTACAGATTTCTATGATTAAAGTTATACTTTTCATATGAAGAGGAGCCTTTTTATATGTTGTCATTCCTTCTCTGTGAACTTTGCCTGTTTTCTTCTTTACTTACAGGTCTTTTATCAATTTCTAAGAACTTTTTATATATTAGAGAGAGTAGCCTTTGTCTGTGATATGAATTGAACATATTTTTTACTGTTTGTCCTTTATGCTTAAATTTGTTTGTCTTCTCTTATGTCTTTTGAATTTTAAGTCACAGTTAGAAAGACCTGTCCCACTCCAAGATTATAAAAATTTTCTCCCATGTTTTCATCCTATGCTTTCATGGTTCTATTTTTCTTAAGTCTTTGATCTCCCTGGAGTTTATCTTAATTTATAACATAATGCTTGGATTGAACCCATTTTTCAGAAGACTATCCAGTTGTACCACACTATTTATTGATTAACAGCTGGTAATTTAGTCCCCACTGACTTGACATGCCACCTTTATTATATACCGTATGTCATATATATTTACTTTATTTTATTTATGTAAATAAAATAGCTTAGAATGCTTTAGGAGAAAGTCTGAATTTTCCTGTGGCAACCCTAAAAGATCTTTTAAATTGTGGTAAAATATACTTATTATTTTTACCATTTAATTTGTATTTTAACTTAAATAGTTACCATTTTAACCATTTTTAAGTTTGAAGCTCAGTGGTATTAAGTACATTTATACCACTTCCACCATGCGAGGACACAGCAAAGAAGTGCCACGTTTGAGAAAGTGGGCCCTCACCAGAACCCAGCCATGCTGGCACTCTGATCTTGGCCCTCCCAACTCCTACAACTGTGAGAAATAAATTTCTGTTGTTTGTAAGCTAAAAAAAGAAAAAGTACATGTACATTGTTGTGCAAGAATCACCACCATTCATCTCTAGAACTTTTTCATCTTCCCACCATATGGCTTTGAATCAAATATACCAGTACTTTTGTGACACACCGTTCATTTGTAAGGTGTACCTTGAGCCGAGAGATATTAAAATATGAGAAAGTATACATCTTAGAATTAGTGAAATACAGTTCTCAATCCCCAAGTGTATTTTGTATATTTCTGGATGTTCTGTTCCTTTGGTTTGTCTCTCTGTGCCAGTGCCACACTGTTTTAATTATTGAAGATTTATAATATCTTTTAATACATAATGAGGCTAGTTTCTCCTCACTGATCTTATTTTTTTAGAAGACTTCTTTGTCCGATTATTTTTGTCTTTCTGCCTAGATAAACTAAGCAGCTTCTCCTTGGCTCTCACAGATCTTTCCTTCCTTCTTTCTATCTCTATTCCATTTGAATTGTAAAAATGCACACATAGAAGACCTTACTAAGCCTGAAGGTGAGCTCTAAGTCTAGGCTCAGTGTACCTTCTCTGAAAGTTTGTGTATCTTCTCAACTTTCTTCTCCTGGGTGTTTACTTTAGCATTGCCATGGTAGGTACAGTCCCTTCCTGGTCTATGTTGTCTCCATAAAAGGGAGATGTCCCCATGAAAGTTCTTAGAATCATTTGCTCCTTTTCTATTTGTACATAGAATGTCATCCTTTTTCAGTGGAGTCAGCAGTGTCCCTAGAAGGACGGCAAGTCTGAAACGCAACTGTGTCGGGGTTTAAAATGATTCACTAATGAGTTTGCCCTCAGTGGAAGTTTGTTGTTTTGCCAGTTATTAAGTTTTTAGAATTTTTAATATGATATTACTATAGCTTGGATAATTTGCATTTATAGACCATGAACTCATTTCTGTTTTGTTTTACTGAAGAACCCATTAAAAGAGCCAGTAAATCCTGTGGAAAATGGCCTTCAGCGATCTTACATCGAGGACTGTGCGTCTTTATGATAATTGGATCAAAGATGCTGGTGAGTAACCAAATTTCCTAATTGAGGCTCATCCTTCTTTTTTATGTCATATTCCCATATTTAATAGGATTTCATTGGAACAGAATGAGAGACGTTGCAACTTAACACTCCCTTATTACTGGTTAATGAAGCGGAAGTGTCAAGGGTTTCATTACAGACATGTACAAAGATGGAGCTACGCAGATGGTCATTATAATGTTTACAGTAGTGAAAACAGTCTAAATATCCAGTGAAGAGAATTGGTTAATAAAATGATGGCGTGTTCCAGCTTAGTAGCCATTAAAAGTGATTTTGGAGAAACAGTGCTCTTTGGCTTGATTCTTCCCTAATGTTCCTAAGGGAAATTACAGTTACTGCCAGCCGCAGCTCTGTCCCTGGAGATTCCTGAATGGAAGAGCTGCAATCCCCAGGAGTGAATCAGAAAGAGCAGGGAGTGATTGCTTGGGACACCCATAAGTGATTCTGGATGCCTACCTTCTCTCCTTGCCCATTAAAAAAAAAATCAATGTTTTAGAAGAGCATTTGATGCCATAGCAAGAAGTTTAAAATATGTTAAATGAGAGCAGGTTATAAAATATCACACATATTTTTTTCATGAGAATTAGCAGTTATCTCTGGGTGGTAGGATTATGGGTAATTTTGATTTACTTATCTATGTTTGTCTATATATATTTTAAATCACAGCAAATGTATATTGCTTTTATAACTACTTAAAATTTTTTAAAGTATAAAAAAGGGAAAATTTTAAAAACAGACAAGGATTCAGAGCATTTTAGAGCTAAGATGGATCTTAGATATCATTGAAGTTAATGCAGCATTTTAGAGTTGAAAAAACTGAGACCCAGAGATGTGACCTACCCAAAGTCATGGTTAGGTGATGGCAGAAAAGACTAGAACCTATGTTTTTGATTATTAGTGTTCTGGTATTTAACATCTGAGTTATTTTAAGTTATTGAGTTATACATACCATCATCACCACTTTAGAGTGGTTCGTCTTATTTTTGTTGTTGTTGTTGTTTTTTAAAGAAGCAGGGTCTCGCTCTCAGACCCTAGAGTGCAGTGGTGTGATCATAGCTCACTGTAGCCTTGAACTCCTGGGCTCAAGTGGTCCTCCGCCCTCAGCCTCCTGAGTATCTGGACTACTACAGGCACAAGCCACCATGTCTGGCTAGATTGGTTCTTACCTATCAACCAGAAATCACATGTCCACTAAATTCAGGAGGAAAAAAACGCCACTTCTTGGTACCTACCACATTTGAAATTATATTAAGATTCCAATTTACAAAGACTTCAGCAAAGTTATACCATTTCATGGTTGGCATCTTTCTCAGTAGACTGCTAAAGACCAGTTTTATTCACTAAAAAAGTTCCCAACAGTTTTGCCCTTGAAAAACGCCAAGCATCTTTGTAAGTATCCCATATAGAGAGAGGCTTCAGTCTGGTAGGGGATGGAGAGTCATTATTTCTTTATTTTCTTCTTATTTTTTTCTTAGTTTATCAACTTATATAATTATACAGGAACATGTAAGTTTCTGAAAGTTTACAGTAGTTCTCATAAATTCACTATTTAATTTAAATGCCAATATTTTAATTGCTTTTCAAAATAGAGGTCCACTTTGCTACCTGAATTCTCATTGTTTGAACTTAGGAACCAAGTAGATTTGGGTACAGTTTTTGAAATAGAGCTGTGTGGAAGAACAGATCCCTTGCCATCGACTCTTACTATTCACTGTCCCAAATGCAAAAATCTAAGAGATTCAGATAATCAATATCCAAACTCAAGAGCCAAACAGATTTAAATGATGATGAATATCTGTATAGTCCTAGAAGTTCAAAATGTTTTAATATGAACCACTTCAGAATTCCACTTCCACTTTAAGCCACAGATCAACTCTTTGCTTTTTATTAGGAATACTTACATTGAAAAGCTGAGTAATACTAAACCAGAAAAAGGAGTGACACAGGGCTGCAGGTGGTTAAACATAATGGAGTGAGGGGAGGCCTGGAAACAGCAGTGCCAACAGTGCAGGGAAGGTGAGGGGAGCTAGGCAGGGAGAAGGCAGGGATTGCCCATCATCTGAAATTATGCCAGTTTGAAGTCTTGGGAAAGAGGAGAGGACATGGGGATGTGGAATGAGAACACCTAGATTTATGATCTGACTCTATTGTAGACTGACTAGGTGATCTTGAACAAATTATTTATCATGTCTGAGTCTCAGTTTCTTTGTTAGTAAAAACATAGGTGAGAATAGTGTCTACCAGCTATCAGATAATATGCATGAAAGTGCTCTGCTATTTGGGTGGTGGTTGTTACAGATGTTAGAGAATTTCATCTTAAAATACTTTTAATATAAAATATCACTTAAAATGTTTTTTCTTCAGTTTCTTTCTTCTTTTTTTTTTATTGTCATGGTCTAGACGGGTTAAAATATTTTATATTGAGAGGTACAGCTTTATGAAAATCCTGTCAGTTGTAACAATATTTTCCTTCTATTCAATGTAGTATTTATCTCTGAGAGCCATTAAGAATCATTTAAGGCCATCTTAGTCTGGTTTTACTTTGCTTACTCTGGGATGGTCTGAACCCATGATTAAGGGCCAAGAATTTCAAGTGTATTCTTGGCTTTGGCCCTAATCTTGAGTGGCCCTAGGGAAACTTACTGATATTCATTAGTTTTCTGACTGCTAGAAAAGTGGTGGTCATGCATAGCTACTTCATGTGGAAAATTCCACAGCTACAGAATTTAAAAGTGGTTTAATTAATACTTAGGCTATAAGAGGATTTATTTTGATTCTTAGATGTGAAATGTCAGATTTTGAAATAATGCTATAGCAGCATGTTGAGCTATGGAAAAATGAAAAAAAAGTGTTTAGAACACAACTTTCCTTGTATTTGGATAGAATGATGACTTTTTAGACTTAGTTGTGATCTTTGTTTCCAAGTACATGGAGTATGAGTAAGATTGCTGCCATTCTGAGCCTTTAGTATTTCAAAAAGTACTTAAGGTACATGTTTGCTTTCACTTCCAGCTTCTTCATTTTATTGATGCTTAGAATTTTAAATGATGTACTCTTTGAGCTAGTACATGCTACTTAAGAAGAGAACACTCTCTTATAAGTAGTTGATGGAAAATCTCATTAATATCCTATGTATGTGGCATTCTACTTTCCCTGTACTCTCTTTCTCTGGGATACTTTTAGAAAAGAATTATTATGCTACTGATAAGTAAGAACTTTGGTAATCACTGGGTATAGACTCTCAGACAGCCTGTATTCTCATCTTGAGCTTCCATCTTGGCTCTACTCATGACACTTAAACCAACTTCCGTGCCAGATAGAAGGCACATGAAGCACTCCCTCCCTCATTAGCCTTTCATCTCTGGGGAAAACAGAGAGTACCCCACCCCTGAACCTAATGCATTTGTAGGACAATAGACTGAGTCAGTGTTAACTGTAGATGCCATGGAGCGGTCCTTTCTGCAACCCCCATATCAAGGCATCATCCACACCTGACTTGCTGGCTTCCCATGCCCACCACCTCACCTGGAGGTGGACTCCCTAATCAGAAAGCTGTAACTGTTATTGAGAAACAAGGCAGGAAAATGAACAATAGTCAGAGTCATGAGTGTTATATTAAAGGCTTTGGATTGTATTTGCTCAGTAAGAGAGAACTAATTTAAGCAGAGGAAAAATCTAAGCAGAGCTTTGCTTTTAGAGAGTGACTTTGGCAATTATATGGGAGACAAATGTAGCAGACTGGATCAGGAGGCAGGGAGACCACTGAAAAGACTATTGCAGAGCATCTGGGGAGGGGTGCTGCAGCCCTGAATGTAGCAGAAGGAACCAGTCACACGCCAAACTCCTAGTTCCTAACTATGACAGTTCATCGTGGTCACCTTGGCAGCTTTTAAAAATTATATATTGACAAATTATAATTGAAAATACTTATAGGGCATGAAGTGATGTCGTGATATATGTATACAATGTAAAATGATTACATGAAGCTTATTAACATATCCAACATTTCAAATATTTATTTTTTGTGGTGAAAACATTTGAAATTTACTCATAGCAGTTTTGTAATATTCAATACACTATTATTTACTATAGTCACCATGCTGTGCAATAAATCTTAAAAAACACATTCCTCTTGTTACACTGAAACTTCGTACCCTTTGACCAACATCTCCCTATTCCCTCTGGCCCCTAGCCTCTGGCAACCACCATTCTACTCTTCTTCTATGAATTTGATTATTTTAGACTCCACATGTAAAGGAGAACATGTCTTGGAGAACATGTACCTAGATTATTTCACTTAGCATAATGTCTTCTAGGTTCATCCAATGTTATTGCAAATGACAGGATTTCCTTATTTGCTTTAGGCTAAGTAGTATTCCCTTGTGTACATCTACCACATTTTCTTTATTCCTCCATCACTGGACAGTTAGGTTGATTCCATACCTTGGCTATTGTGAATAACGCTACAGTGTACATGTGAGTACAGCTATGTCTTTAACATACCGATTTCATCTCCTTTGGATATAGATCCAGAAATGGGTTTGTCGAATCACATAGTAATTCTATTTTTAGTCTTTTGTGGAATCTCCATGCAGTTTTCCATAATGGCTATACCAATTTATGTTCCCACCAGCAGTGTGCAAGTGTTCTCTTTTCTCCAGATCCTTGGCAACACTTGCTATCTTTTATCTTTTTGATAATAGCCGTCCTCACAGGTGTGAGGTTATATCTCATTGTGGTTTTAATTTGTATTTCTCTGATAATTAGTAATGTTGAAGAACATTTTTTTCATATATCTGTTGGCCATTTGTAAATCTTCTCTTGAGAAATGTCTATTCGGGCCCTCTGCCTGTTTTTTTTTTTGTTTGTTTGTTTTTGTTTTAATGGATACCTGGGACCCATACCTTAGGATTCTGATTCATTTGGACCAGGGTCATTTTTGCCAATTGACTTTTAAATACTCCGATGATTCTGCTATGCTGACTGAATTGAGATCTGCTGTAATAACAGCAGCAAGTTTACTGAGCACTTAGGCCCAGTGAGTTATTAATAATAATGTTAGTAATGTTAATAACTTATTAACAACATTAATAAGTTATTACACATAATAACTTATTCAGTCCTCTATGAAATACATGCTGTTTTATGCCCAGTTTATAGATGAGGAAATTAAGTACAGAGAAGTTAAGTCAATTTCTCAAGGTCACGTAATGTGCCACTGGGAGAACCAGGATAAGAACACAGGTTATTTGACTCCAGAGTTTTGCTGAAATGGAATTTAAAAATTTTGGTATTTTGTTTTATGATTTGCCTTGAAAATAACATTCATTGAATTAACCAGCTTTTCCCATAATTATTTTTTTGGTTATAGCACATGAAAGTCATACACAGGACTTTAAGAAAAGGTGTGTGCTGAAAATATTAAATTATAGGAAAAAATTATTTATTTTCAAATTATTTTCTTCTGTTTCCTGAGCCAGCCCAGCATGCTTTTCCTGGCTTGTTTTCTTTCTACTGCTAACAGAGGAAGAACAGAGAGATGATGTCATTTGATTTTTCCTCCCTATTGAGTCAATAAAAGAATAAAATACAATATATCTCTAACTCAGGAATTCTTTTACTGACATCTAACCTAGTTTGCAACCATATATGTGATGGCTGTTAATAACAGAGTCATTTGAAATAGCTTATAAAGAAAAAGAAAAAAACAAAAGTCATCTATATTCTTGCCACACAAAGGTGGTGATATTAATATCCTTCCAGAGGTCATCTTTTGATACCGTTTTCATTAGTCCTTATTTCATTAGGAATAAAAACTAGACAGAGTAATATGGTTTATGATGTTCATGTATTTGGAATTTGTATTACCCACTTATATAAGAAATCCATCAAAGTTTGATCGGTTCTAATTCCACCCCTTGGTTCCCAGTTCCATGATAACTTAATATTTATTGAGATTTTTTTTTTGACATACAGACCTGTATCAAGGGTTCCTGTGGCCATTTTAATTGCACATGGCAACCAGACATCCTTGGAAATGTGCCATTGTTAAAAGGAAGGAGGAGAACTAATAGAAACAATAAAAGATTTTGGTGACATATATTTGGATAGCTGATGTCAATGCTTTTCCTGATTTAAAACTGTGACAAATCTTAATATGAGAAAAAAACTTCTAAAATTTTAGAACATTGTCTTTTTAAAAGTGTCTCTCAAGCTGGGCATGGTGGTGCATACCTGTAGACTCAGTTACTCAGGAGGCTGAGGTGGGAGGATCACTTGAGCCCAAGAGTTCAAGGCTGCAGTGAGCTGTGATCATACCTCTGACCCCTAGCCCGGGTGATAGAATGAGACCCTGTCTCTAAATAAACAAAATAAAAAGAATAAAAGTGTCTCTCAGCAAGCGTTTGTTGAATTTCTATTTTGGGCATAATGCTTTACTATTATAAAATCGTTCTTGCTAAGAGCATCAGTGATTTCCATTTGTTAAATCTAGTGACACTTTTCCATCCACATTTTATCTTCTCTTCTTTTAAAAATTATTGTGTATTGACAAATTATAATTGTATATATTCCCAGAGTCCCCATACATAAACAATTTTTTAAAAAACCTAATTGTATATGTTTATGTGGAACAAAGTGATGTTATGATATGTGTGTCACACACACACAAAATGTAAAATGGTTAAATGAAACTAATTAACTTATTTGTCATTTCAATCATTGATACTTTGACTCCTTCTAGAAATTCACTCTTTCTTTGGCTTCAGGATATGTCACTTTTGGAGTTTTCATTCCACTTCTGTAGCCATTCCTTCTGAGTCTTCTGTCCAGTTTTCTCTTCTGTCTTCCTGTGGATGCTGAGTCCTCAAGATTTTGACTGTAGCACCGATTCTCCTCACTATATCCACTTTTCCCAAGACTCTCACTGCTTTTATTGTTCAGCATTTATGTAATAACGACTCCCAAACCTCCATCTCTGGCCCAGATCTCTCTCCTAATTCCAAATTCATATGTCAAGCTGCCTATGAAAGTCTTTGTGGGAATGTTTTACAGGCACCCTAACTGTAAGATGTTCTAAAACAGAAGCCATCTCTTCTTGATCAGTCTTGCTCCTAACCCTGTGTTCCCAGTCTAAGTGATGGTATAGTTATCTAAACAAACAAACGAACAAAAAAACCTGAGTATTTTTTTGACCTCTAACTATCTTTCATTCCCTGTGTTTAACCAACTACAAAATTTTATATTCTTCCTTACTATGTCTCAAAATAATCTGCTCCTATTTATCCTTTCTTATCACTACCTAATCTTTAATGGTTTAATTTATAAACATATTTTAAGCAAATGGCTATATTTCCCAAACTGTGTTCCACAGAGCATTAGTTCCATAAGAACTAATGTTAAATGCCATTCTACAACAACAACAACAAAAGAATTCAGTGTTCCGTGGCCAATTAAGTTTGGAGAATGCTGCATACCACCATTCCTCTCTTGGCAATTCACAAGAAACATGAAGTACTAAGAAATCCTGCAGTGAAGCAACCTGCTTGTTTAACTCAGCATTCCAATAGCCATTTCTCCACTTTTTGTGGAAAGTCTTGAAATATCTTCCTTCCATTGCATTGTTTGGAACATGCTTGTACAGGATATAAGATAAGAAACAAACTCATATTTTTCCTTAGAAGTGTTTTCCTGTCAATAATTGTTGAATATTTTTTCCCTTCCCTCCTTGTTTATGGGGCTTCCATAATCATATGTGAATTCCTAAATGTCCTGGGACCTGTTTTAGAGCTCAGTGGTTTCTTTTTGTTGTTGTTTTTGTTTGTTTTTTGTTTTTGTTTTTGAGACAGACTCTCACTCTGTTTCCCTGAGTAGAGTGCTGTGGCATCAGCCTGGCTCACAGCAACGTCAAACTCCTGGGCTCAAGCAATCCTCCTCATGCCTCAGCCTCCCAAGTAGCTGGGACTACAGGAGCACTCCACAACATCCGAGCTAATTTTTCTGGTTTTAGTAGACACAGGGTCTCCCTCTTGCTCAGTCTGGTCTTGAACTCCTGACCTCAAGCTATCCTCCTGCCTCAGCCCCCCAGAGTGCTAGTATTACGGGCATGAGCCAACATGCCTGGCCTAGAGCTGAATGTTGACTCTTGCTTTTTATTTATTTATTTTTGTTTATTTTGGAGACAGTGGCATCTGTCAGTATTTTTGAGGAAGGCCCATTTGAATGCAGAAAAACAATCATCTTTACTAGCTAAAGCCAGGCACATCCAACTGTCAAATGTAAGCTCTTCAGCGCTAAAATTGAGGCCAAGTGAGCTATCAATTGCAGGGTTCTATTGAAGAAATTCGGTAGAGGGGGGGAGTCAGACTTACAGAGGTATTCAAAGTTCATCAGTAATTGGCCACATCATGAGCAGCTTTAACAAGCAAGAGCTGCACTCCCGCTACCCTTGAGCATTTTGAGGTTAGTCAAGACTCAACTTTGAGTCAGATGCTACTGGAAGCTTATTCATATTTTTTCCCCATAATTCTCTGGCTTGATGTGGCCATTTAGTAAAATTACATCTGAACTACTAGAAATCATTCAAGAATTAATTATATTTCATCTTGAGTTGCAATTTTTAAGTGATCTGACTCCACTGGCCTGGAACTGGCAGTGATCAGGTGAATTTCTGTTTACATGGTTATGAGGCCAATACATTTTTTTTTTTTTGCTCAGAATATTAGATTGATTAGCCCACATTTTGAACACCTAGAACCCACACTTTTGGATACTTGGAAATGCTAAGTCCCTTTCAATTCTATGATTACATGATACAGTGTTTGTGGAAGTGTTTTCTTGGGTTAAGAAAATTAAGAAAAGCTGCAAACACAAACATATTTTTATATATAAAAGAATGTCTGAATGGAAAAACTAAAATGTTAATAGTGGTTATAGATGGATGGTGAATGTTGCTTGACGTCTTGTTGTCCAGATCCACTATGCAGCCTGTGCTGGGCCCTGGAGAATGACCAGTAAAAAATATATCCTTGGGTTTGCTCCCCTGCCCTCTGGTTTCTGGTTGGGTTCAACCAGTCTCCCAGGAGATCGGAGAAAGGGAGGAAGTTGGAGTAGGGGTATCTCACCCTCTATCCCCTTACTTGCCAGATTGTCTTGGGCTACCCAAATCCCTCAACTGATGGTCACAGCTTGTCTTAATCCATTCAGGCTGCTATAACAAGTTGCCATGGACTAGGTGGTTTATAAACAACAGAAATTTATTTCTCACAGTTCTGGAAGCTAGAAGTCTGAGCTCAGGATGCCAGCGTGGTGGTCAGGTTCTGGTGAGAGCCCTCTTCTGGGTTGCAGACTGCTGTCTTCTTACTGTATCCTCACATGGGGAAAAGAGGGCAGGAGAGCTCCCTGGGGTGTTATTTATAAGTACACCAATCCCATGCATGAGGGCTCCACTCTCATGACTTAATCACCTCCCAAAGACCTCACCTCCTAATATTATCACATTCAGGCTTAAAATTTCAACATATGAATTTTGAGGGAGACACAAATATTCAGTGCATAACACAGCTCCCCTCCCAGAAGGCTTCTCTGTGTGACTCTCTCCTTCTGAGTTCTGATGACTACTACCTCCCCCAGCCCTAGGCTTAGGGATAGTGACAGCTTCACTGTTTCTAGCCACAGCATGTGTCACTATTCCTGGTGATTTCTTTTCACCCTTCCTAAAGACACTATTGGTCGTTGCCATAATAGTCCACTGTCAATGTTGGGATCTATGTGCTTGCTTAAAGAAATATTGGTTGCTGTCAGATATCTCTTGGCTAAGTGGGTGTGTACTTACATATTGTTTTTCTCTTAGATCCAAGAGTTGAAGATTGGCTCCTCATGTCCTCACCTCTGCCACAAACCATCATCCTGGGACTCTATGTCTATTTTGTCACTTCTCTGGGACCAAAGCTCATGGAGAATCGAAAGCCCTTTGAACTCAAGAGAGCAATGATAACATACAATTTTTTCATAGTACTCTTTTCTGTGTATATGTGTTATGAGGCAAGTGTCTTCAGTATTCCTAATGGGAGAATTTTGCCTGAGTCTTCCTGTTTATGTCATTATAGTTTTTGTTATGACTATGAGGGTAACCTTTGAGATTTAATGAATTTTAGAAACTGAGCTCACTAGAGCAGGTATTTGTCAAAATATCATTAAGTGATAGGCCAAATAATAAACTCATTAGAAGATCTCAGTAAAATCTACCTCATAGGTAATGAGAAAAATTAACATGTACTCCAGGGACTAGCACATAGTTAGCCTTGATAGATTACTGAATGAATCCATAAATGTTAGTTTTGAGGAAACTCCTACTCAGAAATTAAGTAATATAAAATAACATAGCTGATAAGTGGAGGACTGACATTTGAATCCATATCTATCTGACATCAGAGTTCATCTTGACTCTGTGATGAATGTCATTGTCCTGGTAGGAACCTTTGGTTTCTGCATGCTCTGGTGAGCTATGGGATGGTGGACTGTTTTGGTTTGGTTTATTGGGCTGTGGGAGGAACAGAAAACATAGACCAATAGAAAGCAGTGGGTGAGAGAGCATGTTCCTTAATTGTCATTAAGAAAGGTGGCGATCTTCCGGAACCCAAAAGGATATTCATGCATTCTCTCCCCCTGTGCTACTACTATGCCTGAGCTCCCCTCATGTTTCTTCTTCTCTGGGATTCCTTACTTCTTTTCCCACTCTGGCTTCCTTATCCTCTTTTTTTTTTTTATTTCCTTATAGAATAGCTTGTGCTTAGTCATGACTGGGGTTCACGGGGGCCCAACACAGCCCCTCTGACCTCTCATGACCCCATAGCCTCTCCACATGCTTCCTTCCAACCCAACTCCTGCTGCAGATCCGCCTGATCAGATCACTTCAACTCTACTCCGGCCTTATTTCTCACAGTCCTCCCTAAAGTCTGGACTCACTCTGCTGCTTTCCATTTCTTCTTTATTTCCAAAAGTCACTCATAGGCCACTCTTACCGTCCCTTCTGGAGTATGAGCAACTGAAAGGGAAAGAGTAGTGGAGATGGGAGCAATGAAGATGAAAGTTCTAGGCAAGTTCTCAGAGGTGGGATATGGCATGTTATAGTATAGTATTGAGAATAGACATGGAAGCCAGGAGACCTGGACTAGTTAGTCCTGGTTCTGCTACTAACTAGCTGCCTAATTTTGAGTAAGTTGCTTAACCACTCTGGGCCTCAGGCTTTCTCATTTTATAAAGCCAGCTGGATCTAGATAGAGCCAAGTGTCCTCAGCTCTCTCCATGCTCTGGTGTTCTTCGGTTCTGTGTCTGCTCGTATCCTTAATTGTGATATCCCCAAATATATTTCTCAGTCTTGGAAGGAACCCAAATCATAACCAGTCAGTTTCAGTTCCTGTTTTATCAATTACAATGTAAAACAAGGTTTGAAAATATCTCAATTTGAGAGTTTCTATCTCCCATTTACCACTAATACTTGAGTCACTTATATGCTACTTTCAGAGTTTATTACCTGCCAAACATAAATTACTGCTTTTTCTTGCTAGCCTGGAATACAGACATATATGTAAAAGAGCCCCACTGTTAGAATGTTCTTAAACTTAATATCAGAAAAACATTAGGTTCTAATCTCTGTTTAAACAAAGACTTTTGACACCTGAGCAGCATGTCTTCTGCTGCTAACACACTCAGACATACAATTTATTGTGTGGAGTACAATTTCATTTGGTATACACAGTAATATCTCCACTAGGGATGTTAGTCCAGATAATGAAGAAGGTGAAAGAGAAGCGCATCAGACTAAGGAAACTCAGGTGACTTATTTTATACTGATTGTTTGAATGTGCTAATTACTTGCCACTAGTCAGACACTAACAGTTAATGGTGCAAAGAAAAGAAACAAAGGAGAATGACAACTATTAGACAATGAGACCATTTAAGACCCCACAGAAGGCCAATTCACACAACTTCCGTTCAACACAGAGCTTGTTTGGGGGAAGGGAAGGTGGGGGAATCAGTCATCACAGTTCAAGTAAATAGCTCCTGGACTTAGAGTGTTACTTGTGTTAGTCAGAAATGAGTCTGAGCACAAGAGAATATGAGGACACTCCCTGACAGAGCTGGATTTTGTAAAACAGATTTAGCCATTTCTGTGTCACATTCCCTTGTTCCTTTGGAGAAATCTATTGACTTATTTTTGTGAGGTTTTTTTCACATTGGTGAAATGTACATCTTATACTTTTCTGGTCTTCATTTTCAAGATATCATGACTCACCAAATTAACAGTGTGATTAAATTATCTTATAAATTAAGCAAGGAGCTAATATCAGAAAGGGATGGTGTGTTTTTAAATAGTCTACTAGTTGTCATTCTCCTTTGTTTCTTTTCTTTGTGCCATTAAAATATTATTCTGATAATGCCTCATAAGCCTTTGTTTTTTGAATTTAATTTATTGTTAAGTTGTCATTTTAGCTTTAATGGTAATTAAAAATAGAAATTTAAGGTTTGCCTCAATGGCAGGAAATGATTTAACCATTATACTGAGAAAGAAGACATTCCAGGGAGAATATTGGCATTTGTGAGAATAAGAAGTTGAAGAAGAGCTGATCATATTGTCAGTACCCTAAACTAAGCCAACCATTTAATATATGCATTAATATAAAATTAGAGCCCTTGGTTTTTCATTTTCAGATACTGTTTTAAAAGAAGACCTTCCCACCATCAGACTGAAAGAATGTCAGTATAATTTTTGAATTATAGTTCAGACTTATCAACAATAGGCTTTTTCTTCTCACCACCAGTCGTAGGTCACTTTGTGGGTGTGTTGGAATTAAGGCCTGCCAGATTTCACTCTTACTATTTTTTTTTTTTTTTTTGAGACAGAGTCTCGTTTTGTCACCCGAGGCTAGAGTACCCTGGTGTCAGCCTAGCCCTTAGGTTCAAGCTATCCTCCTGCCTAGCTTCCCAGGTTGCTGGGACTACAGGCACGCACCACCACATCTGGCTAATTTTTTTTTCTCTATTTTTAGTAGAGATGGGGTCTCACTCTTGCTCAGGCTGGTCTTGAACTCCTGAGCTCAAGCTATCCTCCCGCCTCTGTCTTCCAGAATGCTAGGATTACAGGCGTGAGCCACCACAGCTAGCCTATGCTCTCTTATTAGTAACAAGAGGATTCTTCTCTTTTACTTGTGACTCCAAAGCAAAACCAATACCTGAGCCATGGACTAGCACTTCACCTCATACCCATTAGCCAAGGGCAAGGAAAGCCCAGTTGTCGTAGCCACCTGATGAGTACACTGAGGAATTTTGGTTTGCCTATTTATTTATTGACTAATTGGAAAGATTGGACATTGCCAGAAAAGACTGACCCAGAGCCAGGTATTCCCTTTAAGAGTACACAAATATACCCACATATATAGATACACCTAAGATAAATTGCCTGCCAGTATTTGCTGTTTAAGCAAAACACGCCCAGTGTTTTGCTCTTCACTGTATTACAATAATCATTTCCCAAAATGGGCATTTTAGTCAGAACATAGTTTATATAAATAATATATGAGTTTGCAGTTTTGAAAATTCTTGGTATCAGGCTTTGATATCAAGCATGTTTGTAGTTTGTAATTGTTCTAGCTGCTTTTCCTGCACAGTGACTGCTGACTCAGATAGTAACATAATGAAGAAGCACAATCAAAGCTACCTTTGTTGTAGCCATTGAGCAGATGCTTTCCTTCTTTAATATGTACGTCTCTCTTGCAGTTTGTGATGTCTGGCTGGGGTACAGGTTATTCATTTCGATGTGAAATTGTTGACTATTCACGGTCACCCACAGCTTTGCGGGTAAGTTTCTTTTTGGAAAAACTTGTAACTCAAAATCAACATTAAAATTTTTTGGACTCTGTGACATTGGATGTGAATTTAGAATGAGCAAATGACTCAATTATCAGATTATATGTGTCGGGGGAAATCTAAAAATTATAGGAAATGAAGTCAAGTATATAATTTTCTGTAAAATGAAAATTGGTGCTTTTTAAAAATTTCTTGGATTTAAAAAATAAACTAATGTCTAGTTCCTCAAAAAATTACAAAGTAGAATTACTGTTAAGATCCAGCAATTCCACTTTTGGGTATATACCTAAAACAATTGAAAGCAGGGACTCGAAGAGATTTGTATACTCACATTCATAGTAGCATTGTTCACAAAAGCTAGAAGGTGGAAGCAATCAGGTGTCCTTGGATGGAAGAAATGGATTTAAAAATATGGTATATACATAGAATGGAATAATGTTCAACCTTTGAAAGGACAGGAATTCTAGCTCATGCTACAACATGGATGAACCTTGATGACAATTTGCTAAATGGAATAATCCAGTCACAGAAGGAAAAATACTGCATGATTTCCATTTATATGAGGTACCTAGAGTAGTCAAATTTATAGAAACAAATAGTAGAATGGTTGGGGGTGTCAAGGGGAATGGGGAGTTGTTTCATGGGTACAGAGTTTCTGTTTTGCAAGATGAGAAGAGTTCAAGGAATAGAGGGTGGTAATGTTTGCACAGCAATGTGAATGTAATTAACTGAACTGTACTGTGAAAATGATTCAGATGGTAATTTTATATTAGGTACATTTTACCAAAATTGTAAAAACTAAACTTTTCTTCCATGTAAAAAATGAAATAAATTCGTATCTATGTGTGTTTCTGCAGATGGCACGTACCTGCTGGCTTTATTACTTCTCCAAATTTATTGAGCTTTTAGATACTGTGAGTATGTGGTCACCACATTTATAGTAGTAAACGTTTGCTGTTTAAATGGAAAAAATAAACAAAAGTTCAGTTGTCTGATGACTTTGGTTTTCTCTCTTTAGGCAGACCTAATGTTATCTTTTTACATTTTATTATCAGTAATTTTAGAGAATAGATAGGATAAGTTTATTTTTCAGTATTTTGCAAATTCCAAAAGACTTTTATGTATGGCTACCACTTGATTAAGATAAGCATGTAACTGTCACATATAGTGCAAAACTGTGCATCTTTATGTAGATGGATGGCAGTTGTTTTATGAATCAAGTTTAGAAAGCAAAGAACAGAGGACATAAGTTACTCCTGGGGTATCAGTAATTTTGGGAATGCCAAAACTATTTCCAGCTGCCTTTCTGAAGTCTGTGCTTATTGGGCCCTGTTTCTTCATACTTCAGATCCTGGTGAGGATCACTTCTGAACTTGCATGACTGGGTCCCGGGGGAAGCAAGCGCCATGGATGAGTCTGTGATGGGAGGAGAAAGCTATGAGCCTTTGTTTACAGAGTAGCTTAGGAAAGCTGGATACTTATTATATCTTTGTGGAAAGTATATCTTAGTTATTTGGAACCAGTTCTGGCTCTGAGACTGACCAGTGTGTTCTCTCTTTGGAGTATATATCACTACATTTCTTACAGGAAATCTCAACATGCTTCACCTTTTCAGTTGACTAATCATATAATGTTATAATTGGAAGGGGCTTTAGTAAGCATAGAATCCAGAGGATCTCAAATTTTAATTTTAGCATGCATTACAATCCCCTGCAGGGCTTGTTAAAACACAGATGCCTAGACCCCACCCCCATAGTTTCTATTCAATAGGTCTTGAGTGGGGCTCCAGAATTTGCATTTCTAACAAGTTCTCAAAGGGTGCTAGTACTCTTGGTCCATGGACCACACTTAGAGAACCTGTGCGGTTTCAGCCTTCATGATGCAGTAGTATTAATTGCATTAGGGAAAACCAAACCAAACCAAGCCATTTGATGCCAAATGATCTGTAGTAGCGACCAGGCATGGCTATTTTAGAAAAAAACTTCTTGGATATTTAATATACAGCCAGGGTTGAGAAATCATTGATCTAGTCCAGAGCCCTCACTCTGGGTAAAAAAAAAAAAAAAAAAAAAAAAAAAATTGAAGCCAAGAAGTTAAGTGACTTACCCAGAGAAATGCTGATACAGTCTGGGACTAGGACCAGATCAATAGTTTATGGCTTTTTCTGTTGCACCACACTGCTTTCCTCCATGTGCATACGTGAATGCATTTTGGCTTTCTTGTCTCTGCTTTGCAGGTTCTCAGTTCTAGCTTCCGTATGAAAACTGTTGCTGCATCTATGTCCCCTAAACTACATTTCTCAAATAGTCTTATTAATACTTTTCTTTGTACAATTCTGTGTATCCCTGTAATTTTTTTTTTCTCTTGGAAGATGGTCCAGAATGTAGTCCTGTATTTAAAAGTCTAAGCACTGAATTTTGCTGTAGAATATTTTTAAAACATCCCTCCGACCAAAACTTCTATCCTTTTGTTTGTAGGATTTCTACAAATCATGGGACATGTTCAGTCTGAATAGTGCCTTCATTCCTCTTCTCATTTTTCCTTTGCAGCTTTGCTGCTTTTTTATCGTATTTCTCAAATTAGCTCTTTGAGTTTTTCCGCTGGCATGTTTTTTTTTTTATTTTACTAATAGCATTCTTTCAATAATTTTAACCCATATTCTTTACTTTATATCTTTGATTTTTCAGATCGTGTAAAATTTCTTTTCACCTTTTTATTGGTTCCTCCCATGACTAGGCATTCTACCTAAATTCTTTCATGCTATTTAATTTTTGAGCTATCCCTTGCAAAATCAGCTGCTTCTATAAGCATTCTATGACTTTCAAAGCAAATTATGATATGAAATAGTTTGTATTTTGCCAATATTTTTGTAATATAGTTTATAAATTACCATATGCTTTTATATGAACTTGATATTCTTTAAATTATTTCAGATCTTTTTCGTTCTGCGTAAGAAAAATAGCCAAGTGACTTTCCTTCATGTCTTCCATCATACGATCATGCCATGGACCTGGTGGTTTGGAGTCAAGTTTGCTGCAGGTAGCCAAGGGAAAATTGGGATCATGTGTTATAAATGATAACATTTGTATATGCTATGAACAAAAATTTTATCCTTAAATGTGATTTATAAGAAACTCAAAAAAATCAAAGAGTCCCTTTGGCTAAACTTCTGACTTTCATTAATTATTATCTGAAACATAAACATAGAATTCTTAATTACATTCTCCCCACTATTTAGATATGCATAACTTTTGGGCACATTCTTCTACACACATATTTTTAGTTGTTTTGCTTGGAATTTATTTGAGTCTTATTAAAGACTATTATTAAATGCCTTTAAATAAAGAAATAAAAAATAAAATAAAACCTTGGCTTTATAGGAGTATAGATATGGTCCCAGGAAGTTAGAATGTTTAGCTCAAGTTCCATGTCTTGTTTGCCTTCACATTTCTAGTAGCTGACACACAGCCCAGCCCCTGACAGCTCTTTAAAGATGCATCAAATTGTGGTTATCCCAACTTCTCAAAGCATCTTACTATATTGAAAGATCCATTGATGCTGTTTTTAAGGTCAAAAATAGTTTAAGTGAAAAGCTTGCCCAACAAGCTCTTTTGTTTGTTTCATTTTATTCTTCTGAACATCTAAAATGGAAGAAAACAGTTCTACTTTACAGAATGTACATAGTAGAAAATAATGTTTTCTTCTTTCTCATATGTTCTATGAATTGGCATTTCTGTTCAGTCTTATGTGTGGAAGTAATTTTATCCTGTCATAACATTTAAATAATGTTATCCCCAAGAACATATTTTTACCTTAGCAAAATTTGGTTGAGGGGTTTATTTATTCTAGTTTCTTAAATTTAAGAAGACTTTAAGTAGGTCTGTACCCCATATTAGGCAATGCTTTAATATTTCTGTCAATAGCTTGCCTGTATTAGGCATTCCGACTCAGCTAGACTAAAAGAAAAGGGAAACCACAATTGAGGAACTCTTATTTGAATTGTAGACTCTCTATTATTTGAGTTGTAGACCCTCTAGGCATGGGAGGAGGGGGGAATGCACATGTCTCAGGATGAAAAGGACACAGATAAGCCAGTGGCAGGAAGGGGATGCCAGAATCCAGAGGAGCCACATGGGCTGTGAATCGTGGGTTAAGGGCTATTCCTACTGTAGCTTACAGGCTTCAGATTTTCCAGTTGTGTAAAGAACCTCCTTGCCCCAAATTGGCATTTATCTGTTGAGGAATTTTTTTTTGAGTAAATGTAGCTGTTTTTCTTATGATGTATGTTCATGTAAAAATTTAACTTACATTAGGATAAGATAGTCTCAGATGTGTTCATTTCTCAAATCAAGAGAAGCTATATCATTTGATTTCCTTACTTTCTATGTTTTTGTTTCCTGTCATATGCATAGAGTCCCCCTCAGTTCTTTCTTTAGTTATATACATTGACACCATATTTGTGTTGATGAGAAATTGGAAATAGCTAAACATTCACTAATAGAGTGGTTATGATTTCTTGTATATGTATAATTGTGAGGTAAAAATAACACTGAGAGGCATTTAGCTCATCTTCTCTGTTAAACAGTGTGATTCCTAAATTATCAGAAATAGATGACTATTCTAATTTTAAAGTATGCTAGAAAAGGTGCTTTCACACCCTTAGAATTTATTTATTCTCATTTCTTCCATGAGACCAGAATACTATATCACAACACTGAAAAATAAATGTAAGTAGGAAAAAAGATTAGAAGGCAATATTCCAGAATATAAACAGAGGTGATTTGGAGATATTGAAACAAAAAGTGATTTCCCTTCCCTTCATTTTCCCTTCCATTTTCTGTATTTTCCAATTTTTCTATATTAAAGAGTTCAATAATGGGAAAAATAAATTTTATTTAAAGCATAGAGTTGAGCATTTTTCTAACTTCTATCTTTGAGTTCATTAATAGTCTAGCTTCCATTTCAAAAACAAGCAATAGTTTTCAATAATGAAAATTTAAACTATGATATACCTCAATTTTTGTATGTTACCATGGTTATGGACATCAATGTGTTCCTTATCCATACCTTAATCCCCTTTCTTCTTCACAAAATGTAAATAGTAGAAAATAATGTTTTCTTCCCTCTCATATTTCCATGAGTTGGCATTTTTGTTCAGTCTTCTGTGTGGAATTCTACTAAACAGTTGTTCAGCATACTTGATACCTATTCAATGACAAGCACAGCAACAAGAGCTATTTCCAGAAATGCGATTTGGCACCAGCTTCCATTCCTGGAATGAAACTGTCCAGTTTAAACTATTTGTAAAAACTTGAGCACAGCTGGTCTTTATTTTATTTTATTTTTTTATTTCGGCATATTATGGGAGTACAGATTTTAAGGTTTCAATAAATGCCCTTTCCCTCCCTCCCCCCACAAGTCTGAGTTTCAGCATGACCATCCCCCAGATGGTGCACATCTCACTCATTATGTATGTATATACCCGCCCCCTCCCCCTCCCCCCTGCCCAATACCCTATTACTGTAGTACCTATGTGTCCACTTAGGTGCTGCTCAGTTAATACCAGTTTGCTGGTGAGTATATGTGGTGCTTGTTTTTCCATTCTTGGGATACTTCACTTAGTAGTATGGGTTCCAGCTCTAACCAGGAAAATATAAGATGTGCTATATCACCATTGTTTCTTAGAGCTGAATAGTACTCCATGGTATACATATACCACATTTTATTAATCCATTCTTGGATTGATGGACACTTGGGCTGTTTCCACAGCCTTGCAATTATGAATTGTGCTGCTATAAACATTCGCGTGCAGGTATCTTTTTTGTAGAGTGTCATTGGATCTTTTGGGTGCTCAACATCTCTAATCATCAGGGAAATACAAATCAAAACTACAATGAGATATCACTTAACTCCAGTGAGAATGGCCTTTATCAAAAAGTCTCCAAACAATAAATGCTGGCGTGGATGTGGAGAGAGAGGAACACTCCTACACTACTGGTGGGAGTGCAAACTAGTTCAACCTCTGTGGAAAGCAATATGGAGATACCTTAAAGTGATACAAGTGAATCTACCATTTGATCCAGCAATCCCATTACTGGGCATCTACTCTACAGCTGGTCTTTAGTATTTAATTTCCTGTTTGCCTGCCATACTCCTTGCTGGGATAATGGCAATCCAACTTTTCTCTTAAATATGATGAAGATATTTCTGTGGCAGGTTTTTATATTAATTATGCATATACCCCCTCCAAGAGATATGGAGAATTGTGATAATTACCTAGGTGATTCATTTATTTTTTCCAAAGCAAAAGAATGAAATGTGATAGCACTAATTGTAATTCATTCTGAGATGTTCATTTTTAGATTCAGTCATAAAGAAAGCAAGCTTAGAATATACTCTACTAGAAAAGCCTCCCAAAGATACAGTAAATAAACTTGGTAAAATAACTTAGAAAATAATCATAACTAGAGAAAATAAATATGTTAATTTTATTTGATAGCTTATTTTGATCAGTAACTGACACTCTTAGCTACGCTAGAGCTTTGTTAAATCCCTGTCTATAGGATCCTCATTTTCAGACATTTAAATGGTGAGAGTGTTGAAATGGAAAATAGACACTGCTCTACCAAATAATGGGAGAGGTGTCTTAGTAGGAAAGGTTCTCATATATTTCCATATCAAGGTGAAATAGATTTCTTGTGTGTATATTATGGTGATGTACAAATGGACTTGAGAGGTATTTGGCGTATTCTGTGTTAAGCAGCTTGACTCCTAAACTATCAGAAATAGACAGTTATTCTATTGTTAAGTTACCCTACAAAGGATGTTTTTATACTACTGTAATTTATTTATTCAAATTTCTTTTGGGAAAGCAGATCAGTCCAAATGCAAATAATAAAAGCTGGAAAGTTGATAATAAGCTTCATTAATTCAGTTCCTCTTAACTTGAAATTTGTGATAATTGAGAGATGAGCTAAAATTTGATTTACTCTAGTTGGAAGGAGACAGTTTATGGAGCACAGTATAGCATAAATGAGGCTTGGAGGGAATGTTAAACTATTTACAAGTAATTATTCAAAACAGGTTATTTTAAAGGAGTTCTTTAGCAGTGGTAGTATCTAGAAGTCTCTAGAGTAGCTGCAATTGTGAACAATTATTAAAAAGTAATTTGTACTGTGTTTTATGACATTTTCCTTAGAAGATTATATTAGAAGTGATATATTTGTATTTTCCTTTTAACTTTCTGTAGTTTATAATATTTATGAATTCAGTCCTTCTTCTACCACAATTAGTCGGAATTTATAAGGTTTTGCTTTATTTCTAGAAACAAAGAATACTGGTATTAAGAAAATAGAATATTTTAGAGAAAAATTTAAATTTCAGGTCAACATTACTAGTTGAGTCAGTTTGTACATAAAGAAAATATAGATTTCGGCCAGGTACGGTGGCTCATGCCTATAATCCTAGCACTTTGGGAGACCAAGACAGGAGGATTGCTTAAGCTCAGGAGTTCAAGACAAGCCTGAGCAACACAGTGAGACTGTGTTTCTACAAAAAATACAAAAATTAGCTGGGCGCGGTGGCACCCACCTGTGGTCTCAGCTACTCGGGAGGCTGAGGCAGGAGGATTGCTTGAGCTCAGGAGTCTGAGGTTGCTGTGAGCTATGATGATGCCACTGTACTCTACATGAGGCAATAGAGTGAGACCCTGTCTCAAAACAACAACAACAACAAAAAAATACAGACTTTTCTAGATTGTTCCTCATAGGAAAAAGACCCTAAGGAAGATTATTTTTGTATTTTTTTCCCCATTATCAACCTGTTAGCCTTTGCCCTGTCCAAGTAGCATAGCTAAAGACAACTGAAATACCCTTTTCTTTGCTTCTGTTCTAAATTTAAGGTGATCAGTAGGAGATGTGATAAAGTTAAAAGAGGAAAATCAAGATGGGAAGGCATAATCAAATGAAAGCAGTAAGCAAGGGTGGTTTAACAGTTAATAGATATTTATTTTGGAAAAACAATAATTATTAAAGCAAATTTGGCATAGCTTACTAGTGAAAGCCAGTGGTTTTACTGCCAAAATTATTTAATGAAAATTATTGATGGTGGGAAAAGTGAATTTGATTTCACACAATGACATGTACAAAATATTCTTAGCATCTTTATTTAAAATAGCCCAAATTAGAAATAATCCTAATGTCTTTCAATAGGAGAATGGATAAATAGTGATGTGTTCACATAGTATAATACTACACAGTAATAAAAAGACAGACTACTAATATATACGCTAATGTGCATGAACGGAAACATTATGTTGAAACAGACACAAAAGAGGATATCCTATGTAATTCCATTTATGTGAAGCTTAAAAACAGGCAAAACTAATAGTTGATGATAGAAGTCAGCATAAAGGTTACCTCGGGCGGGGTATATTCTTCAAAGGGGCACTTGGGAATCTCATGTAGTGTTGGAAATGTTCTATATCTTGATTTTTGTGGTTATATGGGTATATACATCTGTGAAAAAGTATCAAATTGTATACTTAAGATTAATGTAGTTTGTTGGCTGGGCGCAGTGGCTCACGCCTGTAATCCTAACACTCTGGGAGGCTGAGGCGGGCAGATTGCTCAAGGTCAGGAGTTCGAAACCAGCCTGAGCAAGAGTGAGACCCCGTCTCTACTATAAATAGAAAGAAACTAATTGGCCAACTAATATATATATAAAAAAAAAAATCAGCCAAGCATGGTGGCGCATGCCTGCAGTCCCAGCTACTTGGGAGGTTGAGGCAGTAGGATTGCTTGAGCCAGGAGTTGAGGTTGCTGTGAGCTAGGCTGATGCCATGGCACTCACTCTAGCCTGGGCGACAAAGCAAGACTCTGTCTCAAAAAAAAAAACAAACAAACAAAAAAAATGATTAAATGCACTTTGTGTAATTTATGTTAATATTCACTAAAAATGGAAGTTTACTATTATTTAGCAGCATAACATATGTAAAAAGTAACTCAGCTAAGTTTGCTAAGTAAACCCAAATCATAAGGCCATCTTAAGGTAAATATATAACAAAATAAACAAGGATTTGCTAATTTACTTTATAAGATTTGTATATTTTATGAAATATATTGTCCCTCTCTAATGTTATGACTGTTTAATAGGATTGATATTTTCTTCCTAGTAAAATTTAAGAGATAATTATACTAAAATCTCAGTTCAGACAAAAATGTGTTTCATTTTAGGGAACAATGCCATGTTACAACAATTTTATTTTCCAGGTGGTTTGGGAACATTCCATGCCTTTCTAAATACAGCTGTACATGTAGTCATGTATACTTACTATGGAATATGTGCATTGGGACCTGCCTACCAGAAGTATTTGTGGTGGAAAAAATATTTGACATCATTACAGCTTGTGAGTAATTAATTTTCTTCATAACCAGATATAAAACTAAACTATAGTCACTTGTCTTCATTGTGAATTGAATTAGGATGTCCACTAAATAAAGAACAAAGTTTACAAAACATTAGGGGTGTAGTGTCTGGCCCCTATATGGCATGCCATCATTATTCTTTCTACATTAAATGAACTTTATCAGGAACTTTGTTGAAAATAAAGCATATTTGGTAATGAAGAGTCTCAGACAAATAAACCAGTATGTGTATTTTTATATCATCTTTATATTATTTTATACAATAATAAATATATTTATGATCAAAATAATCCCCAAATTATGTGATCCTCAATAAGCATAATACTAAATTAGAAATTAGAAATTCTGTATTCTAGATCTAAGTGACTTTGAAGAAATGATGAGCCTTCCTATCTCCCTACCTATGTAGTCCTAACATTTATTAGTCTGTCTTCCTCAAATCAATAAAAATTATTGTGAGAATTAAATGTGTAGAGTGTTAGGCCAGTATATATGCATTATGTAATTTGAATACTACTTGTTAATAAACAATGTTTGAAATAGCAAAGGCCTCAGTTTAGACTTAATCATACTTTCATATTATTAATTCTAAAAATATATGGCATTTAATTTTTTTGAAGAATTACTGTGAGTTTGAGATGGTGTTTTGCTTTAAATTTTATTGATTTCTATTAAGAGGAGAATCCTGCCATACTTGTATTTCCACTTTTGCAGTTTGTAGTAACTCAGTATCATATTCTGCTAGTAACATCAAGGAGAAAGTATGGATTTGGGTTTAGATAGTCTGTTGAAGCTTAATTTTTATTAAAATCTATAACTTGCTGAATGAAATTTGTTACATTCATATAATATGTTCTCCCAGGTGAGAGATTGATGTTTTAATTTTGTAAGGCTCCTAAATCAAGATCAGAGTATGTCCTTGCATAGTTACTTATTGTATCTTAAATTGGCAACTCTAAATGCCTAACCATAAAGAAGTGGTGAAATACATTATTGTAATTCATACTTTGGAATACTATGAAGTCGTGAAAATTATTCACCATTGCTTTCTTTCAAAGTAGTTTTTCTTATTGTGTGGGCTCATTGTAGAAAAATCAGAACACCTAATTTAGCAAAGAAAAAGATAAATAAACGTTATTCCATCACCCAGGGATAATCAGTGCTGATATTTTTATTTTGTTCTCATCTGTCTTTTCTCTCGTATGCATATATGTGTATACCTTTGACATGATTTGTATTATCCTGCATATGCAATTTTGTATTAGGCTTTTTTTTTTAACTTAACATACTCTAAAATGTTGTAAAAACTTTTTAACAATGTTGAAAAATACTTATGTGGAAAAAAGGGGTAGGCCGGGCGCGGTGGCTCACGCCTGTAATCCTAGCACTCTGGGAGGCCTAGGCGGGCGGATTGCTCGAGGTCAGGAGTTCAAAACCAGCCTGAGCAAGACCCCGTCTCTACTAAAAATAGAAAGAAATTAATTGGACAATTAAAAATATATATCCAAAATATTAGCCGGGCATGGTGGCACATGCCTGTAGTCCCAGCTACTTGGGAGGCTGAGACAGGAGGATCGCCTGAGCCCAGGAGTTTGAGGTTGCTGTGAGCTAGGCTGACGCCATGGCACTCACTCTAGCCTAGGCAACAAAGTGAGACTCTGTCTCAAAAAAAAAAAATAAAAAAAAATAAAAAAAAAAAGAAAAAAGGGGTAGACATTTGTTATCTCAAAGCTGCCAATTATACAAAAACACACACATGCATAGAACATTGAGGACATTGACATTGCTTTGCCTTTCCAAGGTTTTGTTTGCTCTTCTGTAAAATGAGAGGAATAATTATGGTTACTCTGCAGGGATATCATAAAAGTTCATTAAAGTAATGCAAGGAAAGGTGATGATGATAAGGGTAAAATGATAATAAATCGAACTGTGAAAAAAAATCTTAACCATAGTTATAACTAGACAGATTGTGGATATAGATAATTATCTATTTCTTTATAGAGTTTTACTTTTCTAAAATATCTATAGAACACATGTTGCCTTTTAATCAGGAAAAAATGATAACCAAAAACTCTGAACATTAGCCTAGAAAGTATCCCTCTTAGGACTGTGTAGTTATGTTTTGTTTCACAGAGCCCTTGAGCACTGCTAGGAAGGCCACCAGTGCTCTTTCATTCCTTGTAGATTCTCTGCATCAGTTGGTAGCTAAGACACAGTTTTATCTATGACAGTGGAGGACAAGTGGCAGTTATGAGGGGTCTGGGATGCTTTGGTTCCTACAAAATTAGAGTGGCTCTAATTAAAATATTTTCATTTTCCAAAAATTGAGATACCTGGCCTAAGAACAGGACAAAATATTTGAAATTGAAACTGTCCTGGAAAATTAGGCTACCAGGTAGTGGTCCCAAATGCATTTCATCAGTGTCAAGGACTCAAGTCAGAGATTCCAAAGAAAACCTGATATGTTAGTTTTCTGAGTAGTAGAAGCTCCAGGAAACATTTAAATTGAGCCCCCTGGAATTTTGCAGCTTGGCAGGACTGAATAGTGGTTCCTGACTCCCATCTGGATTTTGGCTCTGTACCACCTATTATCACATCCAGAGAGGCTAGATTTCAACATGAACTTCCCTACCCAACAGTATACTCCATGCACTTGGGGAGTGTTTAAACATAAGTAGGCAAAGAATTGTAACTGTTCATATCTGAACAATTTTTTTTTCACTTTTTCATCTTTTAGGTCCAGTTTATTATTGTCACCATCCACATAGGCCAGTTCTTTTTCATGGAGGATTGCAAGTACCAGTTCCCAGTCTTTCTGTACATCATTATGAGTTATGGGTGCATCTTTCTGCTGCTCTTTCTCCATTTTTGGTACCGTGCTTACACCAAAGGTCAGAGGCTGCCTAAAACTGTGAAAAATGGAAACTACAGAAACAAAGATCACTGAAATACAAGCAAAACATGAATCTATGATTGAGACTGATATCTGTCTTCCTTGACAATCAAGAGATATTTACCTATGCAGTGAATTTTGTATATTTTTCACAACTAAGAGCTTGTATTTTTATGATAAGTTAATTGGAATTTCTGGTATTTGAGAGCCCAAAGCTCCCAGGTAACAGTCTTCTGATAATTAGAGCCTAGAGCAGCCTGAAATTTTTAGCTGCTTTTAAACCTAATCTAAAGGTTTTGTTTAATACATTTTGTTACAGTGAAAGGAAGATATGAAGCAATACTGTACTCTTCAAGGAAGTCTGTTATACATGAAAAATATTAAGTATTTTGAACACAGACAGAGATCCATGCAGTACAATAGATTCTTTCGGCTGGGTCTGGAAACCTCTAACTGTGGGGCTCTGGCTTTGTCATTTGTTGCTAATATTTCAGAAGATACTGTATTTACTCTAAAGTTAAATTCCCATTCTAAAGAGCTAACATAGTGAACATTAAGTGTATTTTTGATAAGTTGTCATTTAAAATCACTAATGATAATTTTTAATGAATCTTTTGAGTTGCCACCACCAGTTTTGATAAGACTTCCTTTTGTTGTGCATAAGACATTTTAGTTGTACACAGTGTTTCAAAGTAATAGTCCTTTCAGTTAGTGATACACTGAACACTAAAGTTCAGTTCATATTTTGAAAACAAGGTGATTTGTTTTGATGGATTCACAAACATTTTGCTCTTACTATTCTATCATTAACTTTGATCTCTGGAAAGAGATGAATTTGTTAATGAAAAAAGTACTGTGTAGTTCGGTGGGAAAAATTTGTTATCTGTTTTATTAATATCATTTTCTCATATTGTCATGGCTTATAGGATTACTTTGGTTAAATATATATTGGTTAGCTCCTTAAATGTTCATGTCATTGGCACACTGCAGGTACCCCCAAATCGTAAATAATTTTAGCCCACTCATTAGACACAATCTCCAGATATGAGTTAGAGTGCCTTGTGAAGCCACTAGAAGCAAATGGTGGCACAGAGAATATCTGGGGAAGATTCCATCATGTAAGCAAGGGCTGTTCTACTTTGAGATAGAGACAGACTACGTAATAGTTATAGATTCTCTAGTGTTATAGATACACTGCATGAAAAAGTATTTTCCAGAATTGTAAATTAATTCATAACTTGGATTTCTTTTATTCAGACCTATAAACCATATAATGAAGGACTGAATTCATTTAGCATAGATTTTGTTTCTTATAAAATTGCTACTTCCTAAAATTCTCTTGTTTTCACATTCTCTTGTCAGAGAACCAAAATTGCTGGTGAATAGAAATATTGTCCAAGAAATAGCAATATTTGGACATTTGTGAATGTTTCCCTATTGCTTTTTTTCTTGTTTTATTTATACTCAAATTTGAAGGACTGCTTATGTTTGTAAGACTTTAAACAATTAGTACTTAAGGCCTCAGTTATTGTGTAGCACACAGGGATACTTACTGTACAACACAACCTAAGTTTTACTCAGTATCATGGCCTTTAATCTTCACACTTACCAGATTCATATATTTGCCTTTAAGTGACCTTTTTTGATTTCACTTGCTTACAGTAGGAGAAGATGAGGGTTGATAAGTGGAAGAAATTTCATATTTTTTAAGTAAAAAATAAAGAACAGGAGAGCATAGCTAAAAGAAACAGTTGTGTTCTAATTTATTTCACTATAAAAGTCTCAGAATTCCTTAAGTGTTTTTCAGTTTTGGATCTTCATATCCAACCTATGCTAAAACGAGAAGATATGGTAGGTGCTGTTATATATACACACACAATTTTCAAAGACATGAGTAGGATAAGGACCAAAAGGAGGCAAAAATAAAAGAGGATAAAACAGGAAAGTTCGATTTATTTCTTATGTACTTTCTGACCTGCATCATACGTCCTCCCTAACCTTCCTGTAGTCTTTAAAATGTTTGCCTTGCCTATGAACTAACATGATAAAACCACATTCTCAATCATACAAGCAGAAGTAGAGAGGTACAGTGTTACAAAAGAAATCATAGCTGGCAGAAATATCCTTGGTATAAACATCAGTAGATGAAAATGAATGTCACTAGATACAGAATTTGTATGGACAATATTTTATTAAAAGGATTCTGTGTGGTCACATAGAGTTTCTATTGGGGTTTCATCTCACTTTTCAGGACTTTATTGCCTAAAGGTTTGCTTACCTGACAAAAAGCCCAGTTACAAAATCTAGTTTATCACACAAAGGAGCTATGAATCCTTGAGGAGCTATATCTGTACTGTAAATAAATACAAATACAGATTTTTAAATATCTATGGAACATTGCCATTTTACAGTCTTAATTCTTATTAAGTAGAATTTTTAATTGTACTATATTCTGAGATAAATTATGAAATTATGAGGTATATTCTTTCAGTTATCCGTTATTTCTGTTAACTTTTTAAAGACTGGAAAACTCTGTGGATGTTGTCAAAGTGTGGGTTTGTTTTTCTCTGTGTATTATAATAAATTTGTGGTACTGCATGTATATGTGTGTGTGTATGTGTATATTTTATTTCAGAATCCAGCTGCATGTGTTTGTATGTGTAGGCCGCTTTTAATTTGAATACTCACCAAATCAGAGTATTTTACATGTGTGTTGTACATGTGCTGCATTCAGAGCCCTGTTGCCTAAGACATAATTGGGACCTCCTGGAGCTTACAGACTGGCAGATGAAATTAAGCTACAGAGCAGCAGATGATAGATGCTGGATGAGTGACAGTCCTGCCATTTGCAAACAGGGAAGGCTCTATGAAGGAATTTGAATTTGAGTTGTGTGTTTAAGATGTACAAAATTTCAAGATGAGTGTTGGGTTAGTGCACAAGGTGTTTTAGATGAAAAGGAATACCAAATTAAAAAAGAATAGTTTTGCCATCCCTACTGAAATAATGGCTCTAGCTAATGATCATCACCAGTTGCTAAAACAATTAGGTGAAAAGTTGACGGGGGAAATTTATAATGAATGATTTATATCGACACAGCCTGAACCCACTTATCAATCTTACTGTCATTCAAAGTGGGACAACCAGATATTGTGCCTCTTAATGTGCCATAATACTATGAGGTATTCTCACCAAAATTTGTTTAAAACTTGAATCTAATCAGTCCTCTCTATTTCTAACTTACCAGTTACTGGAATACAGTGGATAGAGGAAGATGTTAAAAGACTCCAAGAGGATACAATCAGCCAAACCTAGAATGTAGGAAATTCTATAGGATAGATGACCCAGTTTCTTCAATAAATAAATGGCATTTTTAAAAAGGAACAGAGAAGGGAACTTTTATAGATTAAAAAAGACTTAAGATTTATTAACCAAATGTCATTTGGATCCTGATTTGAACAGATTAAATCATAAAAGGGCATTTTTGTAACAATCAGATACAAATAAACATGAACTAAATATTAAAAAATAATAGGAAATTAATGTTGGGTGTGCTTACTGTATTGTAGATATATTCTTAAAGTCCTTGTCTGTGAGAGGTATACACTGAAATATGTATATGTAAAATGATAGATTGTCTGTGTTCAGTTTTAATACACTATAAAATGATAGGTTGTCTGTGTTCATTTTAATACACTCTAGTAAAACAAAAGGGAGGTGCTGATATCTTTTAAAGTTAGGTAACAGGTTTTATTCATAGGATTTTGTTATACTCTTCTCTCTACTTTTGTGCATGTTTGGAATTTTCCAGCTTTTAAAAAGCATTTTTCATATATCCTAATGTTCCATAAGATGTTATTTTAAATTCCAAGTTAGGAATCAAAATGATGGAACTGACATGATTATTCACCAGTGGTCAGTCAGTACTTAAGAGCACTTACTGCATCTAAATGTTGTAAGAAACTTCAAAAAGTCCTGGATATGGGCCCTACCCTTAAGAAGTATACAGTATAGTTAGAAAAGGACAGGCCTACATAAAAATTTAATGAAAACTAAGGCAGCATACATGATGACAAATGAAAAGTTTATTAAAGATTTGCAGTATCTATTTTCCTAATGTTACGTGGTTAGTGTTGCTGAAACAATAAAGAATGTTCATTGAGAGCCGCTGAAGATTTTTGATCAGAGGAGTAATCAGTCTGGTTATGAGAGGCTCTGGAGAAGAGTCCCTTATGTGGAACCCGAGGTTCCCTGTCACCACCATTTAACCGTATTTCCTTTTTGTTGGAAGCAGTCGAGTGTAACAGACTGTGATTGTTGCCTGTTCTAAAGCACCGTACCATGTAGCTAAGTGCTCTGGGGAGGGGTGGGGCCCAGAGGAAGTCTGCATATACTGTGTGCCACAAGGAAAGAATATGTCTTCATATACCCCAAGGGTACCAAATAAGATAGAGTCCAGGTCTGTGTCCTTCTAAAAGACTTTCCCAGGAGCCCACACAGCAACTTCTACCTACATCTCAATGGTCAACACTGCCTTATGGCCACCCTTAGCTGCAAGGGAAGCTGGGAAATACAATTTTCTAGATGGGAACATTGTCATCTCCAATAAATCAGATTCTATTAGTGAGAAAGAAGGTAAGAAATGAAGATTGAGTAGGCAACTGATGTAACCACATTCATTCATGTTTGTAAAGCTTTTTAAGGACTCGATTCTTTTCTTTGTCTTCCATGGAACATTCCCAACACATTATTGTTTTTGGCATTAGGGAAGGAAATGTTTCCTCTGGCTGTCTGGCCACCATTCTGGTATTAAATAGATCAACCAGTTGGAGTTATAGTCCCCGCAGAGCAGAAAAGAAGTGCCCTTCATGCCTGCCTGCTACAGGAGGGGCATGAGACCCCTTCGCCCTCATGACCAACTGAGAACCATCAGAGAGGTAGACAGGAGCTCATCCCTGTGTCCCCATCACCCAATACCAGCCCTTTTATATTCTTATTAGCTACTTCTGTTTTATTTCTGACAATCTTCTGTGTCTATCCTTTGCCCATTTACCATTAAAGTTTTTGTATTTTTTTAACAAGGGCTCTTTTTATAGTTATATAGCAACCTTTTGCTTTTTCATTTTACAACGTAGCATTTTAAAATGTTTTAAAACATTTTTGTTTTTACATTTACTTTTATTTTTTCTGTATCTCTAATTTCCACATAAACAAAATAAACATTTATTTATAGCTTTAAAATAACCACACACCCATTATATATGGATGGCTACTAAAAAAACCAGAAAATAACAAGTGTTTGGGAGGATATGGAGAAATTGGAACCCTTGTGCACTGTAAACTGGTATAGCTGCTATTAGAAACAGTATGGTGGTCCCTCAAAAAATTAAAAATAGAAATACCATTTGATCTGGCAATTTTACTTTTGGGTATATACCCAAAATAATTGAAAGCAGGGTCTTAGGTATTTGCATGTGGTATGCTCCTATTCATGGCAGCATTATTCACAATAGCCAAAAGGTGCAAACCAACCAAATGTTTGTTAACAGATGAATGGATAAACAAAGTGTGCTGTATACATACAATAGAACACTATTCAGCTTTAATAAGGAACAAAATTCTGACACATGCTACAACATAGATAAACCCTTAGGACATTGTGCTAAATGAAATAAGCCATTCACAAAAAGTCAAGTGCTATATGACTCTAATTACACGAGTTCTTTAGCATAAATTCATAAAGACAGTAGAATGATGGTTGTCAGGGGTTGGAGAGAGGATGATGTGGAGAATCATTGTTTAATGAGTACAGAGTCTCAATTTTGCAAGATGAAAAGAATCTGGAGATCAGTTGCACAACGATATGATTGTACTTAACACTACTGAACTGTACACTTATAAGTGGTTAAGATGGTAGCTTTGATGTTACCCCTTCTCCTTTGCATTTACCATGTCTATCAGATTTGATATCAGTTATGCTAGCATTGTAAAAGGAGATGGGAAGCATTTGAATTTTAAACATCTTTAGAACTTATGCTATGCTTTCACATAGCATAAGAATTGTATATAATTTTAAAGAATCACTCAAGTTACTCTCTAGCTTCCTTCTTCCCAGCTATCATTGCTGGAATTCTCCATCTCTTACACATTACCTGCCCCCTACCTTACTATAGACTCCAGTCCCTCCTCAGCATTCTTTTGGTGGTAACTCTTTTTTTTTTTTTAGACAGAGTCTCCCTCTGTCACGCAGGCTAGAGTGCAGTGGCATTATCATATCTCACTGCAACCTCAAACTCCTGGACTCAAATGATCCTCCTGCTTCAGCCTTCCTAGTAGCTGGGACTATAGGAGTGTACCACCACACCCAGTTATTTTTTTTCCTCTTTTTGGTAGAAATGGGGGTCTCACTATGTTAGGAGGGGTGGTCTTGAACTCCTGGCCTCAAGGGATCCTCCCACGTCAGTCTCCTAGAGTGCTAGGATTACAAGCATGAGCCACCATGCCTGGCCTGGTGGTACCCTTAACTGTTACCACTGTTCTCTATTTCAAACCCATTCCCAGTGCTACAATAGACCAGGTTCCTGTGGTGCCACATCTTATGATGGCAAAGGAGCAGATCCTTTTGAGTAGGGGGTGAATGAGGGTAAGCCCTCTGCTCAGACACTTCCCTCCTCTCTCCTCTTACCCGCCCTGTGCCCCTCCCTTCAGAGATCCAAATAAATTTCCAGCTCCTACCCCCTCTCCTTCTCTTACCCTAGAGCCTCTCCACTCTACTTTTGAGAGCTTTTGAAGTCTATTTGTTTCCTGGCTGTGTGTTCCTAAAGTCTCGTTATCAACTTAAATCTCACTTTTTTATTTCCCTACTAGGCATAAAAGAAAAAAGGGGAACAGAGAGTGGGGTCTGGGATGGAGAGTTTAGGAAAGAACCCATTAACTGGATTTCCCATTGTATGTAGAAATCTTTGGAGAGCTGAAAAATGGGTGTGTGTTTAGTGACAGGAAGTGACAGTGACATTTCTCAGCCACCACCCTAGAACATACTACTTGTCAGCAATTTCTGCAAAGAGCCTTCCAGCCGGAATATTGACTTGCACTCTTGACCCAGCCAATCTTTTTGTATTATTCAACATTCATTTTTGAATTTAGATCTGATTATGTCTTTGTCCTGCTTAAGCTTAATGGCTTCCTATTGCACTGAGAATGAAGACTAAAACCCTTAACTTGCCCTCAAGGCCCTATAGAGACAGCTCTGCCCAGCTTCTAGCCACAGCTGCTATATAAAGACCATAGCATTCTTTTGGTTTCTGAAATGTTCCAAGTTTCTCTTTGCCTGTGTCTGGAACCTGCTGGCTTGACTACCTTCCTCTATGCCCCAGCCCACTCCTATCACCTCCCCCCAATATATTCATAAATCCCTTACCCTTGGTCTGGGTAACTTCCACCCACTTTTCAGACATTAGATCTCAGTTCATCTTTTAGGGCAGTCTCTTCTCAACTACCTAGAGTATATCAGAATCCCTGTTATATACCTAGAACTCAATGTGCATATTTTTTGGAACACACTGAATTAAATGTTGGACCACTTGATTCACATTTTTCCTCCCCAGTAAGACTGTAAGCTCTGTGAAGGCCAGGACTGTGGGTGTCTTGCTTAAAATTCTACCCCCTGTGCTTAGCATAACACTGCATAGAGTAAGCATTCAAAAAAATATTTGCTGGATCAATACAGAAATATAAAAGATGTGAGTCTAGTATCACATTGGGTCAGTGTTGAGGTTTAGGGGAGTCAATAATATAATACCTTATTTTTCCCCTGCCTGCATTTGTAATGAATTTAGAGATAGATGCAGGAGCCAGGCAGATAGCAGTAAGAACCTCTCTTTATTACTGAAGAGAAATAAATACAATTTCCTATTAAAAGGAACAGGGGCTCCCTAGAGAAATGTTTAATTCCAGGTCTGGAGCAAACAGTATACAAGATGAGCTTGAAACATCTTGTTCTGGCAGAAATAAAGACACTATTCAAAGATTAATGGGCTATATCAAAAGGACACAAGCACTGGTTTCAAAAAGAAACATGACAGTAATGAATCATAATTCATGAAATAAAGAATTCATGAGTCTATAATGATACTCAAAAAAGTAGGCAGTGGAGAGGAGGGAAGGAAAGTTCTCTTAACTGAAGAATGGCTATTAGAAAATGTAGGTGGAATGGTAGAATTAGAAACCACTATTTGCCACCACCAATGTATTAACTCATACACATGATTATCAAAACCCATTGGGTAAAAGTTTATTGGGGAACAGGATATTTGTATGATCTTGCAATATCACCCCACAGATTACTTATTATATATAAAGGAAAAAAGATACCTTTATAGTAGAGATATCTAGTGGGCACCACCCTACCCAAGTGATTAAATTTAGGGATAAGGGGACAAACTGACACTATGTTCTTCCTGACGGGATGCGGTTGGAAGTATACATCGTCTACATATTCTTACTAAATGTTCAACATGAATCTAATCATAAGGAACCACCATTTATGGGGCATTCTATGATACAAGTAGTGTAGAGTTTTCAAATTGTCAGTTTAGTAAAATGGAGAGACTATTCTAGATCATGGAGAGTAAAGAAACAGAACAACCAAATGCAATATGTGGTCCTTAAA